GACAGTTAAAGGAGTAGTGACTTGTTCAACATTAAGAGGATTTGTTCGGAGCTTTGTTTTCCAGGAAAGTGGTAAGGAGTGATTTCTAGGATGAAATCTAATTTAAGTGGGGGAGAGTTGTAACGCGCTGTTCTGAACTGTTTCTTAATTCGGGGCGGTGACCCGAAGATTGGGTGTCATAAGGCTTAGGGCCTTTGGAAAAAGAGGGATTTAGACCCATTGGGTGTGGTTAAGGTAATTTAGATGATTCGGGAGCTCAGTTTGTGTTTTGGAGTCAAGGGGTATATCGGTAAAGAGTCAATTCGGGCTTTTATGGAAATTGAATTTTTGTTTGGAAAGTTTTAAGGCAAGGATCAGTTGATAGAAGCGTAGAGCTTCTCGTTACCTTTTCTGGTGGATATAAGGATCGTCAAAAACGGACTTAAAACGAAGAAGTTATGGCCTTCGGAAATTTGGCGGTTTTAGGGTTGATCCTAGTATGCGGGGCCTACATGGAAGTACGTTGTGCGTACTAGGCAGAGATGTTGCACATGACTTATGGAGTATGCTAGGCGTACTGGGAATACGTGGGACGTACTCCAGCCATATGAAAAACCTAATCTTTAGGGTTTGCACCCTATTTAAGCTTCATTATATCATCTTTTGGACATTTTAGACCAAACTCCATCTCTCATTAGCCTGAAATCGAAACCATAGAGTGATTTGGTGAGTTTTGAGCTTAAAAGAGTGGTTAATGGTGGTTTGTGAAGAAAAAGAAGAAGAGGAGCACTTGAGGGCGATAACTTGAGCTTGTAGATCCAACATCTTCTTCTCATTTGCAAGCATTTTGAGGTAAAAAGCTCTCACCTTGATTGTCTTTGGTTTTAGATCTAGTTTATGGTGTATTTTGTGCAGTTATGGAGACTTGTGAGTTAAAGGTGAGCTTTTGATCTACCCCAAAAGCTTTGGATGCTAGATCTTGGCTCCATTTAGTCCCCATGTTCATAAAAATATCAACTTTATGGAAGATTTTGGTCCATGCAAGCATTAAGACCATTATTAAGCTCTTTTTGAGCTTTTGAGTCCCTTTAAGCCATGCATGAGTGTAAAGTTGCCAACTTTACGTGATAAGTTCCCCTTTAGGATCAGATCTGAGAGTCTGGCTTGAGGTCTCAACCGATTAAGTGTTTATTGGAGTGAAAATGATGTATGGGGAGTATGCTGGGCGTACCCAGCTGGTACCTTGCGCGTACTGACCCCGGAGGGAGTACGCTTAACCCACGACCTGAGTAAGCCCTGCGTACTCAGCAGAGGGAAGTTTGGGTTTGGTATTCTCGATTTGGGCCATTGTTTGGGTTTCTTAGTTTGGGCCTTGTTGGGCCATTAGACCTCTATTATGGGCTTCTGGTTTGTATTTTTAGGCTCCTTTGGATTTAGGCCCATAATGGGTTTTGGGCCCAATTTGGAAGATTAGGCCATATTGGGCTTTGGAATATCATTTACGATTTGGCCTTGGGAGTAGTTGAGTTGGGCCTTGGCTTTAGGCCAAAGTGAGATAAGGGTAGAATGGTATTTTACCGTGGTTATGGGCTAAGTAGTTTAGACTCTTGGTTATGGGCTGGAACCCAATTAATAATTGGATGTCATTTGATGATGATAGCGTGGGGATTCTCCGGACCAGCAGTCAGAGATTTATTCGAGTGTTTCAGCAGCTAGAGGTGAGTCTCTTCACTGTTCTCGTAGGTCGAAGGCACCAATGCCGGCCTACTAGGTTCTGATATGTTAAATGTCTTTGTGACTCTTGCATGGTATGTTGGGCTAGGTCCATAGGTATGATGGGCTAGGCCCATTATATGATGGGTTAGGCCTATTTTTATGTTTGGCTAGGCCCAAGGATCAGGAAGGGCTAAGCCCATTGTATGTTATATAGGTGCTAACTTTCTTTGCGACTTTTGTATTTGTATGATTGGGCTAGGCTCATTATGGTGGGTTGGGCCCAATGTACGGGCTGGGCGCAATGTGAGGGCTTGGCCCAATGGTATGTATGGTATGTGCTATTTTAAGGAACTAAATAAGATTTGTGCTTATGGTTTTTATGGTTATGGTTTCAGGTACTTCCGGTTCGAAAGGGAAGGACTCGACATGATCGCAGCACATCCATCCATGTTTCCGCATAATGATGATTTTGGGATTGTACTCTGATAACTTTTTTCTTATAAAGTACTGTTGAATATTTAGAAAAATGATAATGAGTGTTGGACTTAAAGATAATTTATGTTTTGGTTGAATTAAAAATGAAAATTTTACCCCATAAGTTTTGGGACGTTACACCTAAATGATTACCATTGAGTTTGGTGCGTGAGGGTTTGGACCTTAAAGCTTAATCTATGGTGGATTTTCTTAAAAATGGAGTTGAGTGATTTTGGATTAATATATTTTCTACTCCAACAATTTATAATCAATTCTCAATCTAAAGAATCATTTAACACCATGATATTCACTACTAGGATCTATATGTTGAGTATGAGCTTAATCTGGGTTTCAATGGCTACTCATGAACTTGAGGGTTTAATTTTAATGATTTTATCAAAGTTTGTTGGAATTATCTACCTTGGATGAACTAGGTCATGTTAATGGTTAAATTGGAAGAATGGGTTGATGGAAAATAATTGGAGGATTAATTGGAAGTTGATGTTGTAAATCAAGTTTTGAGTTTTATCTACTCTAGAATCACTCATTACGACCCATGATTCCAGTTGAATTGGACATTCCAAGGATCGTGGATAGTAATGGAAGTGGTATAAAGCTTATAGAGTAATAAGATGTTGGATGTCTAGATAAGCTTTCCTTTAGCTCTTATGATGTCTAAATGACTTCACCGTTAAGACATTAGTCAAACATGGGTATTTGTGCAAAAACTTAGTCCATAAACCCCTTTTAATGGAATTATTCAGCTAAAATTGAAAAGCTTAGTTTAATACATAATCCATCAATGCTAGGGAAGCCATGAGAGTATTAAATCAAGTGAAATAAACTTCTTAAAGTATGCCAATCATTGAAAAAGGTTAGAAATAGGTTTGGATGGTTTGAGTGAAATAATAACCGAAATACGTAGTCTAAAAAGGAAAAAAATGAAGCAATCATCACATCTCATGCGGTCTGCATGAGATCCGTACCATCCGACTCAGTTCCTAATCGGGGTTCTGATGGTTTCATGTGGTCAAGATCTTACATCCATACGAACCACATGCGATGTGTGTTTTGAGACCATAACTTATAACAACTGTAACTTTTGCATTTGACCTCCAAATTAGTATATGTTTTTTTTCCTATATTCATTTCTTAACATAAGGAAGACTTTTAATTAGAAAAATTTCAGATTTAGGATTAAGATCTTAACATGTGATTTAATGGGATCATGACATATCTAATGATATTTTTAGCTGATGTTTAAACTCTGAAGCATTTTTGAAATAGAAGAGAAGTACTAGAAGATACTAAATGAATTCAAGGTTAGTTACAAAGAGTACAAGTCTCAATATTGATTTCTTATTTTATATGCTTTCTATACAACTATATGCTAGATATACTTTGAGATGTTGAAATTATATGATGTTTTCACTATGTGTAATGTGTTACTATATGTATTATTGTGCATATCATGATTTTTTTTGGAAAGTACATTGATCATTTGAGATATTATTGATTGGAAAACTAATTTTTGAGCATCCTTATAAATATACATGTAAGATGGGAGACTGTAGGTGTCACTCATGATACCCGAAGGGGTTTGATAATTTAGGTGTTGTTAAGTCGATGTGCGAGGAGATTTCTAGATAATGCTCACGCTACACATGTAGTGTTTGCTACCCCTTGTTGTCCTAGTGTGATTGTTCGCTAATATCTAGTCTATACTTGAGCAAAAGGGAGAAAATAATCTCATGAGCTCGAGAGAAAAAAGGGAGTAAATTATCTCATAAGCTCGATGTTAACCATGTACTTTGCTGAGTTGGAATTTATCAGATGGGAGAGGGCTAGGAATATATGCATTCATTGTATATCAGTTGATACTTTATCCCTTATTTACCATTTGTGATGTTTGAGATGATTTATTGATATTTGTTATCTAATGCTTAGCCTTTTATTATTTTTGGAGTTATGAGTCATTAGAACCCCTTTATTGTTTGGCGTCATTAAATCCCACTGATTAAGTTATTACTCTTGATTTTGGTTTGCAGATTTTACAACCTTGGATTTGAATATAGGTTCATATACCTTTCACCTTTGGTTATTTGAGTCTTAGAACTCTATACCTATTTTGGTTGTTTTGGGTCAAATTAACCATAATTTGATTTATGATGTTTTTACGATTTTTGGATGTTTGATTTGACTAAGTCGATTGCTATCTATTTACATAAATTGAATCAGTCTCGGATATTTTAATTTCACTAGCGATTTCATTTCCTAACTTAATTTGACGTATTCTCAAATGGAAGACTATAGAGGCAATGATTTTAAAAGGTTGTTTAAAATTGACCTGAGTGAGTGGTGTTTCACTTGGTTATAGTTTGATCATCTCACATTGATATCACCAAGATTTGGTAAAAAATATTGCAGGACAATTATTTATTTTCAGATGGCAAGGGTGTTGGTTCTTAATTTGTGGATTCACAATCATGGGTCATGCGGTCTTGGTTATTCGGTTAACTCTTCTTTTCATTTAGGGACCATGGATTTTGGGTAATTGGGGTGGTGATTCGTCATTGACCAGAATCTTGTATAGCATCACACTAACATTCACATATATTTTGGCCAACAATATGTATGTATGTATGTATGTATGTATGTTTACATGTATATGTGTTAGTGTGTGAGTGTGAGTTTTATAACTTGTTAATGAATTGGGAGGGATGGAAAGAAAGGGATAGAATTGAAGTGATTATAGTAATTATCTTTTTTAATTAAGAAGTGAAATAGTGCAACAACCCATGGATATTATCCCCTATTTGGGAAGCTACAATCTATTCGCAATTGACCCTTGGGTTTGTATCCAAAAATTTACCATTAGCGTTATTGCAGTAAGCAAAAACATTTTCTCCAGAGATTCTAACTTCGTTGGTTGTGATTTTAGTGCACTTAAACCTCCCGCTGCAATTGAAAGTAATTGCTTGCTTATTTGATGAAGTCCCATGTACATTAATATACGTTACGTCACTCACTTTTACTGCTTGCATTGATGGCTAAACCAACAAAAGAAAAGAAAAGTGTACATGTTAAATACGAACATATATCTTCGGTTATAGATGAAGAATGAGATTGTTGTTATCAAGAACACAACTCACCGGTGCTGGGCAAAAGGCATCTAGAGATTGACTGCAGTAATGTTGATCAATTATAATTGGATTTTTAACATCTACGAGATGAATGTCCTGAAATAAGATCCCCTTCGCATACCCCCTCCCATTCTACATTATAAGAAATCGATTAATCAAAACACCTTTTAAAACATTAAAAAAAATCTTATCAACTTAGTTATATGTAAGACTATACACCGGTACTGTTTTGATTCGTAATCCATTTGTTGTTCCTGTGAGATTACAATTTTCCACACGTACTTGTTCCACTGTATGATAATCACCATTTTTGCCAAGGCTTCCAATGCTTCAAAACAAACCCAAAGAGTGATGGAAATTTTGGGTAAAAGCCATTAGAGAGACCTATAAAGATCATCATGATCATCATATGTCTTACCTTATGCCATGACCAGGTCCACATATCACTCTTGTTATATTGATATTAATGGTGCCACCATTAATAGCCACACAATCATCACCTACATAAGTATATCAAAAGGGTTGACAATCACATATCATAAAAGAAAGTACTATGAAATCAGAAGTATAATTAATATCTCATACCAGTTCGAATAATCGAGTCATGGATGTTAACATGGGATGATGAACTGATGTCGATTCCATCAGTATTTGGGCTGCGTTCAGGTGCAAAAATTTGAAGATTTCCAACATTTACATTATTGCAACCATTAATGCCAATATGATGGTTTGGGCTATTAATATGTGTTGTGCCACTTAGCCGAAGGCCATCACACCTATGAAAATGTAACGCCTAATTAAATGAATATATTTACATGTTAGTTTTTTTTTAATACTTACAAAATTGACATGAATTCTTATATTTTGCATATATATATATATATATATATATAATATATATATATATATATATATATATATATATATATATATATATATATATATATCTTACCGATGGGACATAACAAATTTTGGCTGCCACCTGCGAAAAGGATATATGAGTCCCAAGTTTTTTCATTTTCGGTATTAATTAATTTCAAGATTAATGAAGAAACTTAACCTCATTTCCCCACCAGATCGAGCCTTGACCATCAATTTGACCAGGTCCATGAATGCTGAGTCGGTGCACTGATACGAAATCTATCCAATTTCTTTTTTCTACACAACCTTTCCATCCATTGAATGTCTTCGGTGCAGTGATGTTGCCCAAAAGCTACCCATCAAAATACAAATTATAATAACATTAATTATAAAATTTAGAAAGATTAATGAAATTTAGTTTGAGTCTGATTAATTTTACCTGAACATGTACCACATGGTAATTGCATGGACCATGGAATGACACAGGTCCTATCAAAAAGGTCTTCTTTGGTATGATCATGGTGGGATCTGGCGAATCATCTCCACATAAATCTTCCCAGGTTCGAAGAAACGGCTGCAGTGGTGAACATAATTAGAAAACTCATCATGGAACCATATTTTTTTTTTTTTCAGAATAAAAGTTGTAATCATGGCTTACTTCAGAGTCATCTGTATCCCCATCTCCTATTGCACCATAAGATGTTACATCAAAGATCCTGGCATTCGTCATTGTTGTGCAAAGTGAGAAGCAACACAAGCTCACCATGACAAACATCAAGAGATCCTGCAAGGTGGAGTAATCCAAGTGTAGTGAATCTGATAAGTTTGAAATATTTATATAAGTAGACAGTCGATGGGTCGGGATTTAATCTAAATTCCTTGACCCGATTAATCAAAGTAAATTTTTCAAGACACTTTTGGATCCATTAACTTTTTAGTCTTTGGACTTAAGAACAGATGTAATTAATGAACAATTTATACTTTAAAAGGTTTGTTGTCAAGAAATAGTCACATTCTAAAATTAATATGGTTATAAAACTACTCGCTGTTTAAGATGTTTTTCGATCGTTTATCTTTAGAAATTTCTATGCATTACGTAAAACAAAGCACATTTACATATTAATTGGAGTAAAACACTCGGGTTTAGTATCACTGGTGGTCGATCATGAAGTAAATTTGTATTTTGTAAAAAGGTTAATAAACTTTTATAGAAAAGAAATTGTTGCCACATCTTAATATAATGGACAGGTTTTACAACATTTGACATTATTTTATAAATGTCTCAACTTAATCATTTTTTTGTAAAAGTTGTTCTTGTTGAAAGGATACCGTATAAAAAAAAAAAAACTTATTGTCAGGTAATAATATACTTAATTTATTAAAAAAAATTGCGGTCAAATTAGGGGAGGGGTGAGAAACGATATACGGTAAATCATACAAATGGTAGTTTCATCGTAGAATAAAAAATTTCTCAGTAGAAATTCGTTGGTTGAATAAATCAAACTTTATTCACTCGATCATATAAATATAAAACATATCTATATCATAGCAAACAAAATTTGACCCACTGATAAACTTATCTCCATGGACACTTCAGATGTAGATCTTGTTATATATCTTACCATCGCACTCAAAGTGATTGCACCTCTCGACTCTTGTAATTTGATTTAACCTACAAGTCACAGTCTCCTACATTTATATAGACAAAAGTTTAATAGAGTAAAAAAAATAGAACCTAAAAAACCAATTTCATCCATATATTTATTTTATTTATGGATGGGCGTGCACCAAAATAAAAAAATAAATAATAAAACAATAAAAAAAACTTTTTTATTATTTTTAGACTTAATTTTATCCAAAAATCTTGAATATATGGAAATTCATAATTTTTTAAGTGTATATATATCATATGGCAAATCCCATAAAAACCGTTATTTTTGCAAGTTTTTATCGGTTTTACAAAAAATCAAATGTTAGGTCTGTTAATATCTTAAATTTGTATTTTTTTTTTCAATTTTATCATTTTTGCAAATTTATCCGGTAGAACTGAATTTTTTTATTTTGACAAACTTTAGTTTTAATGAACCAGAAAACAAAACTTAAGGGATATTATAAACTAGAAAACAGGGTAAAACTGAATATTTCTGCCAAACATGAGGACGTTAAAATGTAGAGGGTAAAATCGAAAAAAAAAGTTACATATATCCACTTTTAGTGAATCTAAAATCTACAAAAGTGTAAAACCAAAAAAAACTTGCAAACTTTTGTCATTATCGCAAAAATATAAAGAACAATATTGTCTCTTAAAAAATTTCGGTTGAGATTCACATTGCAAATTAATCTGAACAATACGGAATAAAAAATCATACAATATCTATCTATTTCTTAGTTTGGATAATTGTCATTCACATATAAATAATGATCAATATGAATTTTAATAATATATGTGATTATCTGAATGATAAATCTAGACATACCGAATTTAGATATAAATTTGAATAAATATTCACATATACATTTCAATCCGGCCAAATATACATTTCAATCCGGCCAAATTCACATATGAATGTGATTGATTTCTAATAGTAATCAAAGTAAATT